GCACAGGAGACTCAGTGGTCTGAAAAAGGACCACTGGGTGGCGGAATGATTCGCTGGCCGGAAAAATAGCCAGGCAAACCCAGAAGCAAGACGGAACGTCCCGGTGGTCTGTCCTCTGAAGTAAGTAGGAGCTAAACCTGCAGGCTTTGCTCTCCGATTATAATGAGACATGGAGTAATTATAAATGATTTCAGATTACGTTTTATATGTCTGGTATTTTGATACTCTGCCCTCCTCATATGTTTCTGTTAGCAGGAGCTAACAGAAACATATGAGGTTTATGTGAGCTATACTTTCGTTAGCTGTTGGGAGCTAAGCGTGGATTTTTATTCTCTCACTCAGCACAGTTTGAGTCTTTAATCCATAAAAATTATCTGTGTGGTTCTTACAGTATCCGTTTTGCCCAAAAGGTTCCAATCAGATTCCTAAGTCATGTTGCTGACTGATATTTATATAGTTTGTGAGACATTCTGATTTGCCTTTTACTTTATTCACTAAGTGAATAAAATTTAATGAAATAAATTGCCTTTCGATTCTAGTTTATTGAGTTTCTATGTGTGTAAATAACATTTTATATTCATCTTTACACAGGACGAAACAGCTGACTGATGGATTGGATCTGGTGTTATTTCACTTTCTGGAGCATCAGGATCTTTCAGATGTCATCTACCTTCTGATCCGATGGAGCTGCTGCAGGAACCCACTGATCCTCTAACAGGATCCTCAGATCCAGGCATCGATGTTTGGTGTCCTGCAACATTTAGATACTTCCTGGTCCAACACAGCTGAATTAAATGGCTGCTTAGGACAGTCAAGTTCTCCAGAGTCGTGCTAATGACTTCTGACCTCATGATTTGACTCAGGTGTGTTAAAGAAGAGACATCTAAAGACTGGAGGACACCGACCCTTATGAACTGGAGTTAAAGCCCTGCTGTACAATTGTCATTCAATCGTAATCACATTTACTTGCATACAGTGGAAACTTTACCTGCGTTGACGTAGATGAGTATTAGTGTTTTTACTTCAAAACCATTTTGGTTTCCATTTGTTGAAAGTAAATTGCAAACATTTAGCCATAGTTTGACCACTGCTTTATGACAAAAACAAAGTTTGATGTCACAAATATATGATTTTAATAGAAGCATTATTCAATTTGTACTGTAGAAAGAAGATGACAAAAGTGTTTCCTGAATTAACTTTAATGTTCATTTCACTGCACACAAAGTACAGATTAAATATTTAAGATTGCAACAAATCTGTTCAATCTTTAACAAAATAGGTTCAGGTTAACATGGATGGATTCACAGCTACCTAAAGTTAACAATGAAATGTCTTAAAAGTTACATGGATGTTCAAATATTTACTATAATAAATTAAAGGAAAACACCATAAAGCTGTGTATTCAAAGACCAAGGTCAGGCTGTACAGATTGAGGAGACACCATAACATCTACCAACAGAGCAGGTTAACTACTGTAGTTGTTTGAAAGGCATCTTGGTTCAGTTGACGGCTCAGTTTGAAGCTTCAAGTTTTGGTGTTGAACCTCCCAGAATCTCAGCTGCTGCAGATTGGCTGAAGATGCAGAGAAAAGTACAAACAGACAGTGTTAGAAAAATAGGTCTGTCACCATGAAAAATTTTACTGTATGATAAATTGTTCCAAAGTTCTCAACAAATGGTAATATAGTTCTTTTGAGGCCATTTTTAAGTTATATAATGGTAATGATTAAATAATAATGTAACACATTCTCAAATTATAATGAACATTTAACACTGGAACTGGAAGACATTTTTAGTATCCAGAATAAATAAAACTAATGAATTTTGAAGTCTTTAAACAAAATTGCTTTTCAAAATAAGGTCTAATCGAGACCAAAGTACCAAAGTGAAGACTTTTATTATCCAGTTTTTGGTAGAAAGAGAGAAAAAAAGAGAAACAATAAATCATGCCAATGGAAATGATTGAGTTTGTTTTAATTTATCATCTGATTAATTGATTTATTGATTATTCTGACAGGCCTATGTGTGAACATTAGACTAAATCCTTAAGTATATTGAAAAGTCAACATAAATGAAGTACCTTTCAGTTTGTTCTGGTGAGTAAAGTCTAGCTGCAGATGATGTTCCTGCAGGTCTAGCTCTACCTTCATTACTGCTGAAGCAACAAAATACGGTTTCAGTGATAATGACCAACATCCATAACTGCCATAATCTCCTGAAGATGCTTGCCGACTTCGGCATCATAAAACTAGATCAATCTGGGTTAAAGTTAAGACTGAAGACAGACGATCAAACTGTGCTGAGTGAGAGAATAAAAATCCACGCTTAGCTCGAAACAGCTAACATAGCATAGCTGACATAAACTTTAGCTCCAGCTAACAGAAACATATGAGGAGGGCTGAGTATCAATATACCAGACATATAA